AAAACAAGCAAGAGTTGAAATAACATAGTATATATATACATCATACATAGTAATAATAATAATAATAATCAACAGTATAGGCGACAGAAAGACTGGTCTTGGCTTGGATTGAAATACTACTCTCGTCTTGTGTCTTGCATTACCAGCTGATGGAGCTCAATTTCAGCAATCTGTATAGTCATCCTAATATTTACGTGAACAGCTGATAGAGCTCAATTTCAACTATCTGTATAGTTGTCTAGATAATGGCTTAAAGAGCTCAATTTCAGCTATCTGTATAGACTTCTAAATATTTGCTTTATCAGCTGATAGAACTCAATTTCGGTTCTATGTAGAGTTGTCTAGATAGATATCTGTATAATTTTAAATTGAGCTCTATCAGCTGTTATATTAAATTTTAGATCACTATACAGTTTACTGAAAACTGTATCGGCTGTTAAAAGCAGATATTTACACCAATGAAGCGGTTTTGACTAAAATATTGGGGAGTTGTGGAATCAGTTATATATATAGGCTCACTTATGTTATTACAGAACCAAAGCGCAGGGCGATAATAGTCCACTCCCTGATCAACTCATACTTTTATTTCATTTCATAACCTGAACCATAAACCAATCATTCTGAATAATTACTTAGTAATTAGTAACTAGAAAAAAATCACAGAGAAAAAAGTCTGAATTGAAAACTTGAAAAAATTTACATGTTTTCGGTTAAAACATGACAAAGAGAATAAATTACAATAGTAAAACTGCAGACAAAAAATTCAACAAGCCACTGGTCACTACTAAGGATTCTAAATGAGCTCTAGGGGCCTCTTTATAAGTTAACTGTTGATGGACATCAGAACATCCAATAGTTATAATAGGGAATGCAGGAAGCTAGTATAACAATAAGCAATATATATATTATATACAGCAATATCATAAAGTAGGTCAAAAATATAAATGCACATCCGAGAACTCAAATCATAAACAAAGACAGTCTGCTATGTTTCGGGGCACCATTTTTTGCTGAAATTTGTTCAAAAGTCGTGGCCAGGTCTCCATTATCTAAACTTTTTATGTAAAGCATTTGTATATTTGAAATCCTAACATAAGACATTAATTGAAATAAGAATTTGAGAGACATGTCATGCTGCAAAAATTATAATTGAAAACACAAGAATCTCACTAAATATGAGTCTATTATCACTTGTCCAACCTTATAATAAAAAGGACTGCTCCTGTTTACATTTTGACTCATCCTCGGATGTGCAATATTATCATTAACCCACTACAGCAGGTGACAAGAGAGGAGAGGGCAAGGGGAGATAATAAAAACTATATGTACATTTTATATAATTTACAATCATACTATAGTCAAACAGAGATATTTGAGCACATGGGAGTCTAGTTGAAAACATATACACTTTCCAACTTGATTTTTAGGTAGAATATATAGTAATAGAAACTATGCAGACTTGACTTCTATTGTTTTAAAATGCTCCTTATATGTACAAATATCTGAGCTTGACTCTATTCTACTAGCATTGAAACTGTTTTCATCTCAAATATTCAGTGTATAAAATACACCTGTAAACCATGTCCAATACTTCAATGTATCATATCTCTTAATTAATCTATTTCAAATAAATATTCTAATATTTTCAATACATTCTGAACCTATCATATCTAAGATTTAGTGACCTTATATTTCTATGTATCAAACCATTCAATATGGCTGATGGTGAACTTATGATGTAGGATGTGAGAGGGATAAAGTCAATTTAATATTTACTTTACCGGCTGATAGAGCTCAATTTCAGCTATCTGTATAGTCATCTAAATATTTACTTTACCAGCTGATAAAGCTCAATTTCAGCTATCTGTATAGTCATCTAAATATTTACTTTACCAGCTGATAGAGCTCAATTTCAGCTATCTGTATAGTCATCTAAATATTTACTTTACCAGCTGATAAAGCTCGATTTCAGCTATTTGTATAGTCATCTAAATATTTACTTTACCAGCTGATAGAGCTCGATTTCAGCTATTTGTATAGTCATCTAAATATTTACTTTACCAGCTGATAGAGCTCAATTTCAGCTATCTGTATAGTCATCACAGAAGGTTTTTCATGTTTACTAAATACTGGGCCCCAGACTTTAATTCTGACTGTGCCCTATCAGCTGGTATTCAGATTCAGTTTTGATCCCTGTAATGATGAAGAAAGTTAAAGGATGCCAACCAGGTAATGAATATATAATGAAGTAAGTAGAACACATAATGTTGAAATATAAAACTGACCAGGAGAGTGAAACTACCGTGATTTGGAAGGAAAATTAGTAATTTGTTTTTCTTGTCTTGATGGTAAAAAAACTACATACAAAATGATTGGAATATAAATGATTTTTGGCAAAGAAATTGTTCATCAGGCATCATTAACAATGGAACTCTATAATCCAGAAAAACATGGAATTTGAACCATACAAATTCCTTTTAGTTCAATCTTATTTTTCGACAAAAATTCAGCATGAGGCATTTACCTCATTTACAGCCCTGAACTTTTAGAAACTTTGATCTACAGAGGTTTGGTTTGCAATATAAAACTAACCTATATAATACAAGAAAGGTAATTTAACCAAACATTTAGCATGGTTCCTCTACAATACAAACTCAATCTGAGCTCTAGGTTATGTCAGTCATTCTATGATCTTAATACATCTTTTGAAGAAAGTGTGTTACAAATTCAACCAATCAGCACATAACTTGATATCCAACAGAAAATAAACCAAATAAAATATCTAGACCTGCATTTTATTGATATAAGAAGCAACTCTATATCTCCTGCTTGTTAAAGTTACTTTGAGTAAAAGTCTGATTCAATCAGATTGATTAACAAATTGGGTAGCAGATCACACACAGAACGCGACAAAATAAATGAGAAGGATTATGAATTAATTATACATAAATTACAATATCTAACAATTAAAATGAATTTACAAAATGTTATACATTGTGCAGATATATGCATTCTACAGGTGCCTGTTATTGTTACAGAGTTTGGTATGTGTATAGAATTCAAGGTGAGAATAGACGAGGTATGGTCTCCAGTACATAGAAGAGATAGAAGAAGCCAATCATGTCTACTTCTAGTGTATAGCTGTATCATGTGTGTTTGTTTCTTCTATTTTCTACTGTATCAATAATTCTAATCACACCAGATACTGTACCTCGTCTCTTTCCACATCTATACAGCAATCAGTAATGAGCTAAGAATCTAAAATTGAGCTTATTATAAACCAGAGATCCTACCACAAAAACTTGTTCTTAACAGCAACTGGATTAGTTCATTTAACTTAACTAACTTATCCATTTGGAGTAAGTCAAAGCTGATACTTAGGAATTGAGCCTAAAGTAATGACAATCTTGCTGATCATCAAGACCTGATAATGGACCCTATATCCTAAACTTGTTCGAGAATTTATCATGAGCATGTTCTTATAATACTACAGTAACAAGACAGGTTGAGAGATTGTGTAAATGATACGAGCTTTGTCTATCAGATCTAATATAATATACAATTCAATACAGAGCATTATAAGGTAATTCTTTATTAATTTTCATCATTTACCCGTTTTTAACTTTTTGCAGATTAATGAAATTCAAAGGGACATAATAATCTAAATATTCACTTTCAGAGTACTTTTTACAAGTATATTTGATGTTCATCTACAATTTAATCCAAAAAACTTCACATGCTATCAATAGTTTGCTCCTTAATATAGAAATACCTGCACAGCTGAAGGGACTTTTTTATCAGAGATGTGAGTGACCATTGCATTCAATTCCAGAACTTTTGAGAAGCTTAGGCAGCGAGGTGTTTTGCGCTTCTTATCCAGAAAAGAAATGAATCTGCAACCCATTTCCATTTCTAAGTTTGCCAAAATTTGCGGAAGTCTTACATTTCTGTTTATTCCATTGTAGACAAACTAAATGTCAAATGATTAAGTCAAAGTGATTAGGATATGAAATTCAACTCTACCAGCTTCTAAACCTAATATTTAAGAAACCACATCCCTTCATTTTGATTTGATCAGTAGATTATGAGGAAGAACTGTATAATAATTTGCATTAATGATGGAACAAAGATGATTCAAATATACTTTTTGAAAATATACCCAACAAAATATCTAGATAATTCCAACCAGAAAGTGATGGAAACGGGAAGCTAAAAATAATCCATTTTACAACAGTGAAGATACAACTTTCAGACATGTGAAAAAATATTAAAATCTGTACAATTAAAACCCCTTGATGAATCCTCTCTCTTCACAAATAGTGTCATAAATATGAAATTTCACATGACTTAACTCCCTTTGTTTGAAAAAAAAGGAACTTTTCCAGCATTTCTCCGAACAACAAAAGATAAATATGCTGAAAACACAAAATTTACTTGTGAGAAAAATCGAACATCTGACAAAATCAACAACAAGATTTTTAGAGAAGGGACATTGATTTGACGTTTCATTTGGTCAATAGAAAAGATTTGGTATACAGCACTAGAGTTAAGGCAATAAACACGACAAACTGGTTTTATATTTGGGTTTTGGTAGATGACAAGTTAACGTCCACTTCCAGTATTCAGTATAATGTATCATACAGGCATATTATCTTGGCTCTCTGGTTAGAAAGCTGCTGTTGGTGGTAGATTACAAGTCAATGTTGGCTTCCAGCAGAAGCTGATTTCACAGACTAGTTAGTTGTTGGTAGTTGATAGACCTTTCGTACTTCTGACAAACTGATGTATATACTTTTCAGGTTTCGAATGCTAACAGTGACTGAGTATATTTCTTCCAACGTTAAGTGGATAATCATTAATTCCTACATTTTCTTAACACTCCGGCTTGTTTTCAAAATATTGAAAGGTAAATGCACGTTACTAGAAACTCTGATTGCCTATCTTATAATATTGACCAATCAGATTACTAGCTTGTTGTCTTGCCAGTAACGTCAAAACTTAAATAATGAAACAGTTTGAAGAATTTAGATTGACCAATCAAATTTTAGAAGTATACTAGATACGAGAAATGTATGTTAGGAATAGTACTAGAACAGTTCTGATTGGCTACGATTGATGTAGGTGGGCGTGTTTACGATTGATGATGTATTAATGACGGAGTTATCTGCCTTTTCAAACTGAGCTAATGATGAAGGGGACTTTAACAACTTTCAAATTTATTTTTATTAGTCACTAAATAATGGATACAGGATATTGTATCAAAGTTCTCAACTTAATTAATCAATTTTGAATCTCATCTGCATAAAATTTATAATTTCATTGTAAATTTCATTTTGCAAAATTAGCATAAAAATAGATCTTTACTAACTAATCATATCAATTTGAAAGTCGTTTAAGCCCAGCGTAACTTTGTGAAGACGTAATTTTAGATCCTTATAAAGGGTCTTGGTAATCTTTCTATCCGTCAAGACTGAAATCTCACGATTCCAAAACATCGTTAAATTTCAGCCTTGACTTCTACTAGCTTCAATATTTTAGCACATTAATTAGTTCTCGCTCTGTCTGTCTGTATTCTGAACGATTATCAGGAATCAGGTCAAATTTTGGCATCACCTGACAGTCGGCGCCATCCTGTTTCTGGTGCTTTCAATTACTGAGTGAATTATTAATCCAAACACTATGACACTTTGTCTGTAATACTGTAACCTTACTCTGACACGAGTCACTATTCGGATGTAAAACTCCATTCATTTCATTTCATACTATTCCTCTATATAGTGAATATAGTGTATCTAGTCACTATTCACCAGTTATACCTCAGTCACTACCATCCACACACCTGGTAATAATTTATCACTCTCATTGAAATATCTCCATGTATTATCTATGAATTGAGCCTAAAGTTGTTAATAAACATATCACACTTGATCCACGGCGTATAAATGACACTCTATATAGGAAGTCGGTACAAAACCTTCTGTATTGTCGTTTTTACGAACTCGCGTCCACCCGTCACCCTGGTCTTTTTCTATAATATACATCTCTTCATTCTCTTCCATTGGTATTGAACCCTCATTTACAGCTGAAATAGAGTAACAACATTTCATAATGAATATATCATATAAATGAAATTAAATGAATGGAGTTTTACATCCTACTTTTCTGCACCATGCGGGCTAATGAAGACAGAATATATCATATAAGATGCAGATTATAAATAGGTCAGTTGTCTGAAGACAGCATAGCATGAAACTCTGAGCAACAACATGATTCAAGTTCTAATAAACATTATTGTCTAAGCACAGTAATTGGAAATTAGTAATGATGTCCCTCCAGCACCAGTAAACTTACATCATTGCTTTTTCACCTGTGAAGCATTTAATAGCAAAATGCAAGGAAATTTATACTTAACTCGGACTCTCTGGTCTTGAAGCAAAGGTCAAAAAAACTTTTTTATTGACTGGACAAATGAGACTTACCCTCAAATTTATATAATGCTCTACATGTTCCCTCTATTGGATAATTAAATTCATCCTCTTCATCATCTGATAAACCATCAACTGGTCTGTAAATATAAAATATAGATATAACAAGGGATAGGGTTAAAATATAAAGAAATGGATCTCTCATCAACCGGTTTGTAAAAATATAACAATATATATAATCAAATACTGGCCAATATTTACAGAACCAATTTATCCAATCATCACTGAATATAATCTAATAAATACAGATAACTTTATGACATGTCGACTTAATGATGGACAGGTACAGCTGAATTGAAAAATAACACAATTTAACAGATTTAGAAATCTAGAAAATATAGATCAATATAGATTGAATGTGGATCTTGCTATTGTTATAGGGAAATAAACTCAGAGTTTCACGTGTCATTTGAAAAATAATAATAGATGACAAATATTTTTTATTTGACAGAATTATAGACTAAGACAGTGAGCATGGAATGTACAGTATAAGGAATAAATAAAAGAAAGGATCTAGATCCAGAAAAGGAAATAAAAAATATGTCCATAAGGTCTTATAAAAAAATCTAAGACTTAAAAAAAGAAAGAAAGAGATAGTGAATATATAAAGTGCAGGAATACAAAACCTGCTACTTACGCGTACACATTAGCTACATTATGCTGAGTCTGTGGGGTACCGGGTAACGAGTTGTCTTGACGCTGTATCATGCTACTTTCTGACGCCGTCATCGATATAGAATCATCTGACGTACTATTACGCTTACTATTACCGCGACTTTCAGAATCGTTTAAATATCCCTGCAAAATAAACAGATCAATCATTTAATACCATAATACGATATAATACCATAATACAATATAATACCATAATACAATATAATACCATAATACAATATAATACCATAATACAATATAATACCATAATACGATATAATACCATAATACAATATAATACCATAATACAATATAATACCATAATACAATATAATACCATAATACAATATAATACCATAATACGATATAATACCATAATACAATATAATACCATAATACAATATAATACCATAATACAATATAATACCATAATACAATATAATACCATAATACGATATAATATCATAATATGATATAATACCATAATACAATATAATACCATAATACAATATAATACCATAATACAATATAATACCATAATATATAATACCATAATACAATATAATACCATAATACGATATAATACCATAATACAATATAATACCATAATACAATATAATACCATAATACAATATAATACCATAATACAATATAATACGACATAATACCATAATACAATATAATACCATAATACAATATAATACCATAATACGATATAATACCATAATACAATATAATACCATAATACAATATAATACCATAATACAATATAATACCATAATACAATATAATACCATAATACGATATAATACCATAATACAATATAATACCATAATACAATATAATACCATAATACAATATAATACCATAATACAATTTTCCAAATATAATCACAATTATTTTTTTTTACAACTTTATTTATCAACATATACGTACAATATAACAAATAAAACAATAATTTAGTATCTTTTTGCCAAATAATCAATTCTCAGTTTCTGGAACGAGTATTTGTGCCTCAGAGTTGAATATCAGTGCTATTTTCTATATGAATAGTTTTATATGCTACATATTGGTCTATTTGATACATAACTTTAAGATGACTGAGTAGTGCCTGAGTAGTATGTCTATATTCTGTATGTTTTTCACTGTTTTATATAAGTACTGTTTAGTTGCCAGAATAATAAAATTAAGTGCCAAATTGGATTTGTGTGGTTGTCTCCCAAATATAATGTCACTTTCAGAAAATAATTAGTCTTATTACCAATTGAGTATTCAGTGCTATAGCAATTCTAAACATAAATTTCCGAACTAAAGTTAATGCTTTTTGAAAGCTGAAAGCTGACCATATAAAAAATTACAAATACATCTAAGACAGAAATTATAAAAATTATACCTCAAATTTATGAAGTTCTTCTCGTAAACTATCTATTTTCTGGGCGTTTTCTTCCACCTTTTTATCTAGGGTTGAAGGGTCACCTAATGCTGGATTATTGAGATAAACATCTTTCATTTTTAACATACCCTCTCTGGAAAAAAACATTATAACTTTGTGATTTGAATCTTCATTAAAGTATGTTGAATCATTGTACTTGTTGCCACAATTTTGTCACAATGTATTATAACTTTGTGAATTCACTATTTCAAAGATAAAGAACCATACATCTAATATCAGTTTTTACAACATGTACAGTTAAGAATGTTATCTATTATTGTAATAACAGAAATGTTGTACTTAACATGTATATGAGATAATAAATAATAATAATAATTGTATTTATAAAGCGCTGAAATCCACTCTGCATGGAGAGTGCTCAAAGTGCTATGTATAAAAAAAAAAAGTTAAAAGAACCACAGACATTTGGATGAAATATGAAAGATACAAATCAGTGCTATTAGTATAAATACTATACATCTAAAAAGTTTCCAATCTCTTCAACTTGTTATCTTTGTAACAAATGTTTGTTATTTTCTTTGTAATTTTTATTTTTGTATTACACACAAGTAAAAGACTCAAAAAGTTCATCTTTGACTCACCTCTCTGCCGACTCTTTCGCCATTTCTTTTTTAATACTGTCAATTTTCTGTAGTAATTTCTTTTTCCGTTGAGCCGGAGGTAGGTCACTGAAATCTTCTCGTTGATCGTCCACCTGTTAGGTCAAAGGTCAAGTTATCAACATGATATTCAATGGAGTTTATATCCTCCTTTCCTGCCCATGATTTGGCTTATGAAGCAATGCCAAGTAGTAGACAATGGAGGAAATTAGTTTACAGTTTACAGTTGAAATGAAGTTTAATGATAGATGAAATTTAAAATGATAAATGTAAAGTTACTAAATGATGTCTCACTACTGCAGATTTATATTCAAGACTGAGTATAGTTCAACAGGCACAAAAACTATTGTGAAATTTTAAATAAACATCCATTGGTCAGGAACGATAAACCAAAGCTATTTAATTTGTTTTGAAGAAGATAAAATTTAACTGCCCAAAAATTGTTGTATTTTGAATGATTTCTGGATATGCATGTTGGTTCTTATAATGATTTAGAATGCATATGGAGTAGTTCAATAAAGGGTTGAGGGGTGTCAATTAATTGCCTGGAGAACTAGTCTCAGTCTTGTCTATACCTATCTAGAAATACTGCTGAATATGCGATACATTAGTAGCAATGACCTGAGCTACACTATGCCTAAAATATCAGTTTCTACTGGACAGTGATGTCTATTTAGCTGCTACCAGTACATTGAAATATTATAACACTAAATGAATTTGCAATATTACTGTTTTTAAGATGATATTTAATTAAAACATTACTTTATGATCATGTTGCTTGTAAAAATGGACAAATTGCTATAAGTATATATGATAAGAGTCAAAATGCAGTATAGTAATTACGGTTTGTAATAAAAATAAAGAAATTGTTGAATGCATTTAAATATTTCTTAAAAAAATTGATAACCAAATTGGTTAATAGAAAAATATGAATACAGTCAACAATTTCTTGTATTAACTTTGTTAAATCACAGGCATTTGATTTTTTGATAAAAGTTCAGTAATAACACCATTATAATATCAAAATATCAAATGCCTGTGGTGTGAGAACTACACGATACATTACGACACAACATATACATGCAAACTTAATACAGGATCCTTCATGCTGAAACTAGACTAGATATAAGGTGACAATTGCTATCAAACACCCCTCAATATCTAATGAACTATTCTGGATGTGCATATGATACTATATAGTACATCCTATTGCATGTATAGAAGAGTTCATTTATAAACTTGGAGGAGTTTAAATATCTGTCAAACTAAAACTAGTTGAAACTAAAACCTCTAAACCACCTCTATGAATGGGATATTCCAATGCACTATTTCTGGAAGGGATCTTGTTAAAACTATGGATCATTCCAAATATGATTGAAAATTTGTGAAGAGAGAAAGGGGTCAAGTGATACCTAGGGGTGATTCTAAAGAAAGTATCCCACACAGGGCTCCAAAATTTTGAGAATATCCAATTAAAATTAATCCACAGTCTATTGGTTCATCGAAATTGTTCAAACCAAAGAATGGATTGTCTACAGGTAAGGTGAGTTTTAAAATTTCCTTAACAGAGCCCCAAAATGTTAATAAACCAAAATAACTTGCTTTAAAAGGATGGGTTTCTACATTTACCTTTGGGATTTTAAGAGCCCCATAATATTGAGTGAACCAAATTAAAAACAAGCCCTCTTTTAATTTTCCTGCCCAAAATGTAATAAGTCAAACAAATAGTAAATTGGGGATAGATTAGGGTGAAATGAAGAACCAGTGGTTTTCGTAAGAAGAGTATTCAAAGTGATTGTAAAATCTGGACTAACTTACTCCTCGAAAACACTGTTTAAGAGAAAAAAATATCAAAATTTAATCATTCCAATTAATGAAGATGATGATGATGATGATGATGATGATGATGATGATGATCATAGTTTTTAGACTTTAAGGAGGGGACAGGGGGGTTGGGGAGGGGGTGGGGGCAAATCATATGCCCTAACAATGAAATACCTTTTTTTATGATTTCTTAATTACCAAATGATTTTGTTCAAGAGTGAATATGGAACCCATTCAAAGAAATAGTTACATGAAATGAAATGAAGGAAATGAAAAAGATTTCAGAAAAGAATTTGTAAGAGATTTGAAAATCCATAGAAACTTCTTGCAAAAATACAGCATGCATAAAAAAAATCTTAAAGCATATCTGTAGCATCCAGGCTTAGTCAGCAATCACAAATTCAAGCATTGAAAGGAAGGCCCTCTCTCTAAATGTTTCAGACATTCATTTGTTTAAGCAAATAATTAGCACACTACATCCCATGAAGCTTATCAAGACCTCAGACAAAAAAATTTGAAAAAGCATCAAAGACGAGCCTAAAATAATGTTCAGACATGGTTGGTATCAAAACCAAACTACCAATCCAATCAACTACAATGATCTAAAGTAAAAAATGGCCCTGAAGACAAAATCATGGATTATAGGTATTCCTATAGATGACCAAGTTAATCATAGAATTGTTTACCCACAGACACTGATCATCAGCTGATCAAATTTTCCCACAATAACAAATAAATATCCTGTTCACCATTAATTTAGCATCACCAGTGTATGTTTTTGAATAAGTTTGATTCTCTCAGTTGATGTGGTTGGTGTTTAATACCAACCCCTACTGGACCAACACATACTACACAACAGCAATAGAGATAGTGCACTATATAATCAACATACATATGGTATTGAACATGTAACATCATTCCTGACAAGGTGCTTTCTACATAGTTCATGCTGTTTAACATGCTTTGTGACAACAGGCTTTCAAATTACCATTTTCAATGAAAAATAACTCATACAGGTCAAAATAAAAATTCATGTATGTTCTAAGCAAAGATCAAGATAATGTATATGGAAATGTGTGGAGAAATAACCCTAGACCCAGCTCGTAGATCGTACAAATACAGAACAATTTGAAGATAATCAGAGTCAAAGTTTTCACACATACCCACAGCAAATTTCAAAATAAATTCAAATGCAGTAACACAACCCAAAGCAAAAAACATAACCTTTGATTAAACTCTCCAAGCCAGCTTTATGCAAGAAAAACCCCCAAACTAACATTGTAAGAAATCCATCAATTTTCAAAAAGAAAACCAAAACCCAGAGAAAGGACCAGAAAACACCAAAAACTTCATAAACAGAGCAACTCTAAAGCATTTTCTATTCTTTATATATTTTTTGATATAAGGGCATTATCAAGTTTCATATATTGACTGAAATATACAACACTAAATACCAAATATCTTTGAAAGTATATTCATTGTCTACAAAATATCTACAAGCCATTCACAACTGAACCCAAATCTAAAACAACAACACCAAAATATAAAATAAAACAGCAAATTTCATTCTCCAGAAATTGAGCTCTTATCTAGTTTGTGGTTAAATTGACACTGAATAAAAAGTAAATTTGTAGATTGGTAAAAACAGCCGAACAGACTTTTAAACTATCCAAAGATTATACTCAACAACCAAGATTCTTGGCATTGTTGATTCAGATATAACCATATAGATATGACTATAAAAACATTTTGGACACTTACTTATGATTGATTTACTTCCTCATTTTAAAGAATTTAGCTGCAACCAATGTTCTGCCAATATGTTGTTTGGATTTCAAATTTCATTTTGAAGATCGGATCGTTAGTACTTGGTTTATTTATTGTTTATACCAGAACTCAATTTCAAGAGATGAATAAAACTAAAAATGCTATTACAATAAACTACACTGAGCATTCTGAACTAAATATAACCCAATATACATATTATTACATACCAATAGTCCTATAATCTTTTTATAGAGAAAAAAAACAAAAATATTTCAATATACAGTCATTCTTGTAATATTAATATACAAAATAGAAACTTAATTTTATTGGGTGAAATATACCACAGTCTCAATTAATATTTCATGGTTTTTATTGAGAATTATTTTGACTGGTGCCGGCAACTGGCAATTCTTTTCGAGTTAAAAGATCTTTACACGGGGAAAACAATATATTCTTTCCTGCAATTTTTGAATAATTATTTTTGAATTTTCCAGTATCGAATTTAAACTTGTCACAAAATATTGTGAAATTTGGAGTAAACAATCATATGTGCTAGACAATTACGCACACCATATCAAGAGGAATATATTACAGTAAAAATAAAAATCTAAATGCCAAAACCAGTGATACATAAAGATGTGGATTTGTGTTTCAATTCTAAGATGAAGATTTTTTATCATGCAAAATTTTTCTCCAAGGAAATTTCAGTAAACTATTACTAATATCCATTGGTCTTTGACCAGTGTTTTACTGTGAATCCATACAGTGTTTACCAGAGTATAGATATTTACTTCCAGGACCAATTCTAAACATACATACAGACAGTCCATTATATTCTGAGGTAGTATGAGTAGTAATAAACAGAATGTAAATCTGGCTTGTATAGTCTCAATTACTATCTGTTCTACCTCAAATCAAAATAGACTGCTCAAGTTATGTTTTGAACCGTTCTTGAAAGTGCATGAATATCTATATATCTGACTATACTATCGAATAGAATGCATCGAAGGAAGGTGGCTAAGACTCTTGTACCCTTTGATACAGCCAGAAGAAAGTGCACCATGCCAGAGATTTGTGTCAAGTCAAGCTACTTCACCAAGATTTCAAAATAAAAATATCAAAGTTTCTAGGAGTTTCTATTTTGTGTTTGAAAAGAAATTAAAAAGAAAACTGAGATGTCATGACTGGTGAATAAAATGATAAAAAATGAAAAATTTACAAGAAAATGAATGAAAGAAATATTGTTATTGACATTGTATAGGACATTAGATAGTACCTAAAATAACATATTAGTTATATGGACCCTGATGACATCATGACAGGTCCCTTTCAAAGGGATAATAAAGAGGTTTTCTAAACTTGTTTTATCTTATATCAGGGCCATTAATGGCTTCAATTTACATCATTCCAATTTCCATCAGATGTCTGTGGTTCCTGTTGTTATATATATGTTAAGCAGTATATGACATCACTGTCCCAAAAAATATTAATAGCTTTTACAATAATGACATCATTCAATGCTTAGTTTTAGTGGAATTGCAGGAACTACAGACGTCTGACTAAAAATGAGAATGGTGAAAATTGATGCTATCAGTGTCCAAGATTCATATAAAAGTTTCGAAAACATTTTTACAGCAAGAGTATTTCACACTGTTGGGCTGAGCAACTTTGAAAAACCAACATTTATAAAAATATTTTACGCCAAACGTTGATAGTTTCCGTAAAAATTACCAAACCATCAAGTTGATCTGTACAATGTCAATAAGATTATTTTAAATAGCATGCTCAATATGACTAGAACAATATTGAAACAGTAAAGACTGGGAGAAAGCAATAATAAATTCTATTAATAAAATATATTTCTTACTTTTCCCTGTTGGAATTGATGGATCAATTAAAAATATAATTTGTTAATTACCACATTTTAATTAGCCTTTGTCTTAAAGAATTAAACTAAGCCAAATGAATGAATAAATGATTGAATGAATGAATAAATGAATAAATTAACTTCATGATGCCATTCTCAAGTATTTGGAGTGAGAATTTACCTTGCTTACTTTTTGCTTTCCAAAGGAAAATAATAAAACATTATAAATAGGTGTTGAAGTTTGATTAAAAAGCAATGATGTTAAAAGCCAATAAGCCAATGGTTGTAATTTTGTTAGATGTTTTAAAAGAGAGATAAATATTAAAAATCCTAAAAAAAAATATTGTTTCTTAACTTTGATACAACAAGACATCAAACTATCGTGGCACATTGTCATATATTATTAATAATTTATATGTTTCATTTCAATATTGAAGTATACATAATGTTTGAAAAACTATACATGTTTTTACTTCATTCAGAGAAACATACAATTTCTGAAAAATGGAATATTTGAAGATTATTTCCCAACTTTGATTCTAGAAAGAGACACATTGATAAATTCATTTTTTGGGAGTAAATTTCCAAGAATTCTGGAATCTAAACTGTAAGTTTTACCACTTTCATGGGGCATAACTCTAGTAAAACTAAAGTCAATACTGAATATTTTGATGTCTTGGTGTTTAGACCTAATCTGTACCTTCTACAAATAAAACTAAATTACAGTTATCCCTCACCATAGAAATAAAAATAAAATTACATTTAGAAAGAGCTAGTTGTCCTACTACCAAGACAGGGTAGAATTTGACAGGCAACAAGAAACACCTTAACTTTCCATATGAACTCTTCCAATCATACATACCGGTACAGTGTTGAGCAAAGATATTTCTACACATTTGAAGATGCAGACAGTCCATTTTATTATAAGGTAGAATAAATAGTAATAGAACTATACAAGTCAGACTTATATTGTGTTGATTACTATCTAGACTACCTCAACATAAAGTGGAATAGTCATGTTTAAGTTTTGAATTTTCCCCTGTGTGCATTAATAACTGTTTGACTATACAGTGATACAGCATGATGTTGATAAAAAATATGCATGTGTGGAATAGTTCAATAGAAAGTTAAGGGGTGTCAAGTAGTTGCCTGACAAACTATTACCAGCCTTGGACTCTGTACACTGTTAAAGTTACGATTGTATTTGATAAAAGATGGATGTTTACCTTGCTAGAAACAGGCTAGAATATAAAATAGGTAGACTGTTATTTCATGATTTAAATTTCGTCTCAAACTTGCTGACTTTAATCTAGTTTCTGATAGTTATTATGGACAAAATGACAGACCATGTTTTTCAAGAGATTTAGATATATTTTTTTGATAATTTTTTTCCTTATCACATAAACTAAAGGACTAAGATGATAACAAAATATTCTTACATTCCAAAATTGGTCATAATTTGAATATGAATTTTTATTTGAAAAACAACTTTTTAAAGTCCTGAAATGTTTAGAATGTTCCCTGAAAGAACCAGGCCCAGAATTTTGTTTCTCAAAGAATAAGCTTATCTTTGAATCAACTAATGAAAAATTCATTACTTCAGTGAAATTTTTTTCCCAAGATTTGCACTGACACTGCTTCATTGGAAAATAACTATCAGAGGCTAGGTCTGAGTCAACAAGTTATCAACAAGAACAAAAAAATCTAAAGGAATGAAAAATAAAGATGAAAATATAAATCAAATAAAAACTTACTTTGGAAGAACCGAATAATCCAAACAAACCGGTTCGCTTTTTTGATTTTCCAGAGAGCGTTGCTGACTTTGTATTTTTATCAATTGTGTTTTTGGGTGTAATGTTATTAGAATGTTCGATAGAATTCCCTAAACTTAAATCTTCAAACTGAATATCTTCAGGTTTCTGAAATCCTGACTTATGTCTTTCTATCACAAGCCGAGAATCCTAAAATAAAATAATACATTCAATGAGAGAAGGTCTTTATCAACTATCTATTCTGTTAATATTTCATTCATATTTATAGGAACAATATTAGAATTTCTATAGTAACCTCATCTAATCATCTAATAACAAGCACTAGATTATACAAATAATATGAACAGAGTTTTACATTCTTATTTTTTGCACCTGATAGGTCTAACGAAGATGGTGAAAAAATGGTATATTACCATAATGGAAATTTTGGAAGGACAGCCTACTTTTCTCAAATTTCCAACTGGGAATGGATTTTAGGCACGTTATCTGCACTCTGATGAGGGTAAAAGCAAAGGCATGTTTTACAAGACTAATGTGAAACCACACCAAATGCAATGGCTCTTTTCACCAAATGCAGATCAAAGAAAATCAGATATTCCTGATTTGAAAAACCAAAATTATCTTACACTGGCAGCATCAACAGAACTAGCAGCTTTTTTCATTCCATCAATACAAGTATTAATAATAGGTATAACGCTAGCCTCTGTTTCAGCACACTGGTTGATGAAATCACGTATTTTATTGATACGCTTTTCATCCATATCTTGTAATTGCTGAAAAATATCAATAAAAAATGTCAAAATTAAAAAATTTGGAAGTCTAAAGTTGTTTAAAATTCAAGAAAATTATTAGAGGAATGGTGTGTTAAATCCTAAATTCCCTCTGGTAATTAGACTAATGAAAGCAATGCAGTGAGCAATGAGGGACTTTTGGTTTTTCCAATACATAGCATACTATTTTATCCATTTACAACAAATGAGGGATCTTGAATGGGCACAATAATAAGCACACTGTGTCAATGTCACATCTAAAACACTCTGACTATCAGCTGTCCTAAAAACACCTGGATGTACCAAATGCAAAATCCTAAAATAAAGTAAATTATGAGAGAGATTGTCTGTATTACCTGAAACACAGCTGGCATGAGAGTGTTATAGAATTCAGATTGATGAGCGTTAGTATTCTGTAACTGGGCCGCGTATTCATTTTTACATTCTTCAGCTAACTGAGCTTTGGTATTCATTAACATTCTTGTCTAGAAAATATCATTAGAAATTATATCCTAAAATACTTTGGTGTTATCTATTAAATTGCAGGATAACATGACTTTGTATACATGTCAAGTTCTACAGATAGTTGATATTGAGACCTATTCCAACTCAACATTTTGGTGTGTGCATTTTACCAACTTGTTGATTATTTTTGTCCTAATGGCATGTGCATTTCATTAATGTTAAAGAAATTTTCAGATTTTGAAAACTGGAATTAATCCTTTTACAACATTTCTATGGAAACTAACAAGATTTTTTCAATCTATTTATATCAAGATCTAATCCAACCTTTTCTACTTCTGCTCTAGATAAATGAATATCAGCATCAGCCTTTCTATAATTATCCATTGTCTTCTCAGCTTCTTTAAAACCTCGTTCATATTTACTTTTAGCCTGTAATAAAACAGATATACAGAATTAATACATGTACAAGCTCAGTACAGTACTTATTATTGTATTTAAAACCCTGATCCCTTATCAATTAACAGATGGAATCGTGGTGCAGTTTATCCAAATAACAACAATTGAGGTACTAATCAAACCCTTTGTCATACAAGAGGGGTTACCTCTAACACAAAGTTCGTACAAACCTTTTCTAACTGTTGATATGATCTCTGTATTTGTTCCTGTAACTTGGAACCATCTTGTAAATACTGGAAATAAACAGAACATAGTAAATGATAAACTCTTCTATGGTTTAAAAACAATTTGAATTCAATTGTTAGTACTGGAAATATACAGAACATGATAAAATCAAATGGTTATAAAATAACCACAATTATAAAATTGAAGAACTTTTTAAATCTAAATATCTTTACATTAGTAAGAACTCTTTTATAAATCTAATCTATTGATCATTAATCATCTGTATATTTCTCTCTAGGTCTGAATATTTCAATTTTGTAAAAGGGATGTCTCAAATCATTTCTTTCAATAAATACATAAAGGATAAAATTGTTGTATTTAATATTATATAGTTGGAAGTTGGAATAAGATCAAGAATGTTAACCTATTCCTCCAAGCTATTTTAACTCAATGTATAGAATGACATAAACATGAATTCAGAAATTCAAATCAAAGAAAAACTCTGCTGGAATTTCATTGTAAAAACCTTTTCTGTAAGAGATTTGTTCTAATAGACACATGAATTTAATGAGACAAGTGCAAAGAGTAAAGAGTATGTATATCTGTATATTTTCCCTTCTGACCAACGAGACACACGTCCATGACAGACCCTATGATTTGCATCATTGACAGGGAAGAAAACATGGTTGAAAATCTTAAGGCACTCGTTTGATAATTGATATATACTAAGGCCCTCCACATGCTCACCAATATAGTAGTGGTGAAGCAGACTATGCTTTTTCTTTTCGAAACACCTGATGGTACCGGTACTTCTCTATACAACTTTTACTCTCGATTTTGCCAGAGGTTTGAACAAGATTTTGATTGACACATTGATTTTGCTTCTTCTTTTTACTGAGTTAGAACAAGGTTGCCTACCTTTTTTCGTTCCTGTTTAATTTCACCAATTAAAGCTTGCATTTCTTTCATCACAACACCCTGTAAATTCTCTGCTATCATCTCATGTTGACTAGCGATATCATGTAGTTCTTTTATCATTTCTACAAAACCCTTCGCCGAGGAAAATCTGAAACACAAATCAATAAATTACAGTGTTGAAGGTTGAGTAAAAAGTTATTCTTCGAACAAAATGATTGAAGACAGTGTTTATGTGGGAATATAGAAGGTACTGTCCTCTACTGTTCAGTGTGGGGGATTATTAATACAGTAGACTATTTGAAGAAGCGAAAAACCAAATGATTAACAAATCCAAAGCAATATCAGATGTATGAAATAAATAAACCAGGTACAAACGATGACAATGCAAAATGAAACCCAAAATCCAAACAACATATTGGTAAAACATTAGTAGCAGCTGATGAACTTTTCACAATAAGAAGTATACTGAGTTATTATTTCATAATGAAAAGTAATATCAGGTGTCACCCTGCCTGGTGCCACATAAAGAAAATTTTATGAAAAATTAGGTCCAGTCATTGATCAATTGGTAAAAAAAAGATTCAAGGAATTGAAGGAGGTTTTCAAATGACATAGCTATTACAATAATCCTAGCTTTAGTGATATTGACTTTGGACATAAGCATTTCTTTAACTAAAACTATGAAATCAGATGATAGTAGTATAGTAAAATTTGGATATTTTATCAGAAATATTAAACCTATAAATTATATAATATACATATAGAGATATGAATGGACTGGTATGAACATTCTTACAATATAATAATATAATAAAACTGTCATTGATTGGAACCATGCCATATTATTACTTTATAACAAATATCATTGACTTCATTCATTATATTTATAAAACAACTTCATTCATTATATTTATAAAACAACTTCATTCATTATATTTATAAAACAACTTCATTCATTATATTTATAAAACAACTTCATTCCGACTATATTTATAAAACAACTTCATTCATTATATTTATAAAACATCTTCATTCATTATATTTATAAAACAACTTCATTCATTATATTTATAAAACAACTTCATTCCGACATATTTATAAAACAACTTCATTCCGACATATTTATAAAACAACTTCATTCATTATATTTATAAAACAACTTCATTCATTATATTTATAAAACAACTTCATTCCGACATATTTATAAATCAAATAATAATATTGATTCATCACAACAGACCGCGACCATTTGCAATTTTACCTTGACTAGAAATGCATGTCAGCAAATATGAAGAAAACGCGAGAAAAAATCCTTAAACAGTTGCATTTCTTGTTGAAACCTATGAGAGCATGTTGTTTCCTTACACAGGGCGACCCTGTTCATATTTAAGGTTTCAGTTAGGTTGTCCATCAGAGATCTGGTGGTGCTCCTACCTACCATCAGTGGCGACAATGGTCATCATTGCACTATTTCTGACGTTTTCTACACACTTTAACATGCTCTGGGTCAATTATGAGGCTATCGATGTTTTGGATTTCCTCATCAGAATTGAAACGGAATTCAGAAATACAATGTGTTGAGGACAACTGGTCCTGTTTCTTTTTCAATGTCTAATTGTCACTAACCTGCACAAGTCTACAGGTTAATAGCCTATATATCAGCCCCTCAGACCTAATGGTAGCAGGAAAGCTATGATGGTAACAAGCATGTAACTCAACTACTAAAGTGCCCTTCATCAGAAGTTACTTAATGACTAGTGACTGTTGTGAAAATGCATTCTACCTTTTGATAAGAGGATGAGAAATAAATCATTGAAACACACCTGGCAAGGGATTGACATACAGTACCTAATTTTTGATAAGTTCCTTCATATTTAAACCCCTTCTGCTCCACCCATTTCAAATATTTGGATTATTTGACCTAGCAGCTTTAGAAATATATAGTCAATAGAAATACTGGTATTTTATCACTGATATAACATAAGTTTTCCAGATAATAACTGGCAGAATATGATATCATAAAGTAACCTTGTACTGATTTGAACCTTCTGTTAGTAAGAATATAGCACCAGACTTTAAAGAACCTGAATAATGGACTCATGTTATTTCAGTCAACATTTCAATATAATTCTTCCAAGATATTTGGATTAATACCTTTAATTTAATTGATTTTTAAACCCGGTTTACCCCTCCCCTCATCAGTGATTATTCAACATGGTATTCCTCCTGTCCCAGTGTAGGATATTCATGTCCAAAGTGCAGACATGAAAAGTGTCTGTCATTTACAAGCTATGAAAAACCAAGGTCCTCTGTAGGCCAAAGACTGTGTATTTCAAAGATCCCTAGACTAGCCTTCATTCCATGTCCCCACAAAATATTCCTTCCCTCATTGTACACTGTATGGACAATGGAGTCGCCAAGTCAATCTTCACTTAAAGCAGAAAAAAGAGAAAAAAAAACTCTACAATAAGGGCATTTGAAATGCAACTTATATCTTTATAAAATATTTTTGACAAAAAAAATAAATTCTTATGAAATAAAATCCTTTTTAAAAACTTCCCCTAGTACTTGACATTGCACTAGTATAGGTAAAATTTAACGGAAGTAGAAATGTTTCTAACACTATAAATTGTTTACACTAGTCAAGTGTTTAAAGAAGGTACTTGATAAACAAAGCTTAATTTAGATATACTCTACTAATAGTTAGTGTGTTATTTTTAAAACAGTTTAATCAAATATATATTAAAATATTTCAAATATGTGTTCAGATAACAAACATGTTATAAACATTAGGTAGCCTCCCTTGTAGTTGATTTATAGACTGGACATTCTTTTCAATGAGTCTATATATATTACTATGTTAGCTAACTGATGTAGACTTTCTGAGAAGGATTAAATGTCCTGAAAGACGAGCATGTCCTGCCTAGAATAAAGACTTTATTCCATTTTAACAATCCAGAGAGAGAGATGTTGTGGTCAGCTCTATATGACCTATTTGTACTAAAAAGTTTATTTATTACTTGATATTAAGACAAGTAAATAAGGAGACTATCCTGGGTGAGAAGTTTATCTGACTTATTTTTCATTAAAAAGTTTATTAATATCAAGACAAGCACTATGAAGACATTCTGCTGTTTATCTGTTTAGACCTATCACCAGTAACCAGAAGTTAGTACTGCCAGTCTGGTATGTAACACACCCTTACACCATGTTTAAAGTACAAATGTCTGCTATCAAATACCTCAAAATGTTTTTCATCAAGTCACCAAACCTTTACTTAACAAGCTACTGTACTTAAAACATCTAGAACATTGTATGAAATATAACTAAATATATCTATCTCATATAGAAAATATATCTAAATAAGTAAATATTTAAATTAACAAATTTAGTCATAATTTTACTTCAGTTGGTAATAGTGTGTATTAACCTTAGTTATTAAGTATTTGTAACATTAGCAAGAATCACATTAACACAAATTCATCTGAAGAAATGACGGTCTTTTTAGTCACACATTTTTCATCAAATTTTTTTAATTTGAATCTTATTTTATTCTAACTAGGCTTATTTAGTATTTTCTGATTTTTAATATCATAAAATTTCTAGACTACCATACTTTAATATTACTAAGTAAGCTTATAACATATGGAGTTAATGTAAGTTTTGTACAATATTGAGTTTGTTTTATAAAACACCCTGTATTTGATTACACTAGGTTTATATCATGTTTTACCTTGTGTTTTATGATAACTGGAATATTTCTACTGATTAGATATTTGTGGAGAGTACTGAAAGCAATTTTTAGCAAATATTCTGCTGGTTATTATGTAATCAACAGCAAAAGTCTCATAATTAAGAGGAGAGCAAGATGAATGAACTTTTAGTGCCCTGGTCCCAACCTTTTTCAGCCTTCACGACCCTGGAGTAATCACCTGGACCTTTCACACCCACAAAAATTTGTTTCATCCACATTTCCAGCATATGATGATGTGAGGTGCTCTCTCAATTCATAATAAATTCTTCTCCTACACCAGTTGGCCACACCCCTGACACCCCAGTTTGGGTACCGGGGTTTTAGTGGTATATGATCATACAAAAGATAGTGGATCACATGCAAACAAAACAGATTTTTCAATATCCAGTGTCAGGGGGTCAATATTGGAGACATATCAAAGGGATATGAACAGACCTTGAAGATGCTGACAAAATTCACCCACATAAAGATATGGCAGATATATACAAATGTATAAACATGAAATATAAACATTATAATACTCATTATCAAATATTAGGTGGTAATTATTGTATATAGAGGTCCAGTATGATGTCATTAGAGGTTAATATATTGAGGTCAAATAAAAACAGTGTTGATTTGTCTGTATATTTAAAGTTTTGTTTGAATAGAGTTTTATGTTGTTGAATTGAGAGTATTTATCAACAGTTATGTCTGATTAAAGCTCTAGACTGTTGATTTTGCTGTATTTACCAGTCATGCCTGACTAGAGCTTTAGACTGTTGATTTTGCTGTATTTACCAGTCATGTCTGACTAGTGCTCAAAATTCAGCACTGTTTTTGCCAGTCATATTTTACTATAGCTCTAAAATTCTGATTTTGCAGTTTTTGCCTTTGATGTCTGTTTACAGCTCTATATTGCTGATTTAGCCATTGATGTCTGACTACAGCTCTAGATTGCTGATTTTGCAGGTATTTTCCAGTCATATCTGACTAAAGCTCTAGATTGCTGATTTAGCCATTGATGTCTGACTAGGGTTCTAGATTGCTGATTTAGCCATTGATGTCTGACTAGGGCTCTAGATTGCTGATTTAGCCATTGATGTCTGGCTAGGGTTCTAGATTGCTGATTTAGCCATTGATATCTGACTAAAGCTCTAGATTGATGATTAGGTTATATTTACCATTGATATCTGACTAAAGCTCTAGATTGATGATTAGGTTATATTTACCAGTCATGTCTGAATGGAGTACTAAAATAAAATGAATGGAGTTTGAAGACCTACTCTTAATAAAGACTAAATTGAAAGATATGGGAGTAAATAAAATATAGAGGTCAACTATATAATGTCCTATGTCCAGTATATCAAATAGTAAATAGCCTATAGCAATATCAACAATAGCTTGATTCTATCAGTGTCATTAGATATAATTAGATATAATTTATATAATAATATAGACACAGGCCCTGATTTATCATTCTATTTATCATGACAGCTAGTCAGTTGTTATCTCTCTCCCTCTCTCTGATAGTAGATAGTATTTATCTATTTCACAATGGTCATAATACACTCATGGGCAATAGTTAAAAACATAAACCACATACAAGAGCTGGGTGTAGCGCAGAGTAGGCCACGTATTCTCGAAACGCTCTTATCTATAAACATTGATTCTCGGATATCCCAGCACTAAGATCGTTTCGAGAATATGTGACCAAGTCTTTGCTAGTTTTGCTAAAGTTAGGTTTTGCATAAAAACTGGCTAGCTGTTATAAGCTTAAACATTCCACAATTAGTCAAAATACACTCATGGGCAACATTTAACGAGAATACAAAAATATAAGAGGTGGGTACAGGACTCTACTAAGTTTGCTTTAGTTAGGCTGTGCCTACTTACTAAGTGGAATTGAATGTTATTGATATACTATATCTCATTGAGAATTGTCTCCCCTGACACCAAGCCTTCCCCCAAGCTTCAGTAACAATTCAGACAAGATTTTAACAGAAAATTTCACTTACTGATACTCATCTTCATCTTTCTTCTTGGGTTGAAAATTTTTTACAAGTTTTCTGAAAAAAAATAAATAAATAAAACATAAATGAGTGTATATTGCATCTATTAATCATCTATAACTTAGACCACTGGTAGAAAGTGCTTACTCTTTCAGTTGACACTTTGCTTAACCATCTATTTCTATCTTTCTATGATTCAGAATGGTTGATTGGACCTCTTTCAGGTATGTTTTATTGATTATGTCTGCTTGTTAAAAGAAGTTTGATATATTACACGTGTGTATACTTCATCTTTACTGATCTATTGAACTGTAAAATTACAAAATGACCTATATCAAACCAAACGTCAATCTATAATCCAACTCAAGTTGATATCTACACGCCAACATATCAATGATTCTTGATCTTGATACTGTAAAATTGTATATAAAGCTATAATAATAGCCTACAGGTAATAGTTATTACATGTATCAACTTTCACTTTTTATAAAAATCTTAGGACTGAATATAGATCTTGTTATCTAAAGGGAAATCGTATTGCGAGGTAATTTGTCTTGTCCTGTAATAATGGAGCCAGTGTGTATTTCCTTATAATATTCACAAATCAACTTTCATTCTTTATATGAACATTGATCTATTATGTCTGATAAGAACCATGAACTTTTCCTTTTTTAAAATGATATTGCTTCACATATGTCAATCACTTGCACTGCCCCAACCCTGATAATAATTCCCCCTCCCCCTTTATAAATCTTAATAACAAAGACAATTCACATCTATTTTAAACACAATTCTGTTTGTTTTTGTTTTGAATAAAACATTTGCTCTTGTAGAAATATATATAGTATTTAAATCTCAACCAGCAGAACTGGGTTGGAGTTCAGGAGGGCTGGGGGAATTTTTCCACAATAAATATCGTATTTTTTTTAGCCTTGGGGCCGTCTTGGGACCTGCTACTCTTCTCAACTAGTTTATCTACTCTGTCAACCTACTTCACCTTGTACAACCAACCAGTCCTGTCCACTTAAAGACACTGACCGTTTGAAAAGACTGACCAAATATTTATGAGTTAAATAAACACACTAATCAATGGTCATCTTCACCACTTGAAACAGATAATACTGAGAGGTTTTAAATATGTAACTAGACTCTTAACAGTGTTAAAGGGAGACAGTTGTATAAATAACATTCTACCAGCTAGCAGACAATACAAAGCATGATGTAAAATCAAAGTGATATGGTCTCCTAATTATTCTGTATACTAGCTAGCTAATAAAGCTCAATGTCAGTAAACTATAGTGATATGGATAGGATATCGCCACGAATAGGTCCAAACATAAAACGGTGGCTCACATCCATTTATATTTCCTAGTTCTTTAGAATATTCACCATGACAAAAGCCATATTTGGGTAGAGCCAGATGTGTCTGGGTAGATTCTAGGTGCAATTAAATAATGAACGTCTGCATTCTGTTGAATTCAGTATCAGTGACATTTAGACCATGATGAAGCTATATCAGCCAGTTAAATGCCTAAATCACTTGAAAATTGATCAGCTGGTAAAGTAAATAATAAGAGCAGTGGACATTGTTTTTTCTAGAATTCTGTATCACTGATAGTTATCTGAGATGTTTAGGGTAGTCTGGTTTGACATCATTAAAATGTTAAAAGAAAACAACAACAGTTTTCAGACAGAGTTAAAACTACTAAATAAATACAGAGAACAAATACCAACATTCTTTTTTTATCGAAATAGGTGTGAAGGAAAAGGTTTTTAACAACCTATCACAAGTTTAGGATTCGAGTTTCACGATTTTATGAAGCAAGGCCACTTTTTACGGAAAAATTGGTGTTCAATCCATTTCCCATGTATATTAAGCCAGTTAAAGTTTCCATAATTTACAAGTACAGATTTTTTTTTTGAGATTTTTTTTGTTGGCCATAGTGTCACACTCAGGTTTTTATTTTCTAGATATTATGCACCAGTAATATTTGTGTGAACTGACTAGGCCAGTAATGTCCAGTATCTAGTTTCTATGATTTTAAACAGGATTTAGAGAGGTTTTTTTAACTGTTTCTGTGTATTGATGTGTATTGGGGATACTGACTGTACAATTGAAAACGTCCTAAGATATTCTTAGAAGTTTTTGTTATGATGATGCTAACCACAGACAGCTGGCTAAAAATTAGAACGTTGAAAGTCAATGCTATCCTGGCCCAAATACCCATAAAACAAATCTCTGTACAAATGCTTTAAAGCAATTTCTTAAATAAGAAAAAGAAATGAAATGAATGGAGGTTTACGTCCTACTTTTCTACACCATGTGCGCTAATGAAGACAGGCAAGGCCATGCAGTGTTCAATGAAGGAAATTTTGCTACGACAGAAGCATTAGCCTGTTTTTTTTTTTTTTTTTTAATTCCAACTGTCAAGGGTCTTTAACTTCACAGTCTGTAGCACACCAGAGTACCAGAACGACTAGACGCTTTTTCCATGTTAGTCAGACTTAAATGAGTTATATTGTAACATAATATATAAAATATATAATGTATATTATACATAGATAGATACAGGAAGCAATTGAACAATAGTAATATAGTCTGGTTTTAACAGTCAACTTTTTATATACACTACTGTATCTTCACTTCGTATGATTTTATTATTATTATCATTTACCATCAACCCTTAAATTCCTTCTCAATGGTGCAAATTGCGGACATCTAACACTATTAATTTGGTATTTTTTGTTGAAACATTAGAAATTGCGTATCTAATATTTTTTGTTTGAGTTCAAGGCATCAAGTTTCATTCATAAATTCCAAAGGAATGTCTATGAAGTTCCAATCTGATAAATTTTGAACAGAGATCAGAATGGTGAATGTCTTATACATTTCAAGTTAAATCTACAGTACCAGATTGTTTCTGAAATTGGGTCTTACCCAAATGACCTCAACACCAAATAAGATATCTAAAATTCCCTTTAAAATCCCTTTAAATTTCAAATATATCACATCTGAATGAATATTGTTTTTTTGCACTGCGCTTTTTAAAACATGATCTTGATCTCAAGTCCCTAATAATAATTTTAATATAATTCATTATTATTTTATGCATCATTTATGAATTAAACCCATTTCTCTGATAAACTGATATCAGCTGTGATGTACATCCTGGTTTGGATAATTTACCACGAAGACTTAAGATTTCTTGTGTAAATCTATGAGACAGAATCTATCATGAACTAAATTTATCGCCCTAAAACAGGACAAATTCCTATCTCTCCTGGTCACTCGCATGGAAGGAACATTGATACAGATTTGGTTGCCTTTCAACGTACGACTCCAAGTTTTCTTCCATGTGTTCATATTTAGAACAAAACAAGGTAAGTTGAAGATTGACCGTTGTGCTTATTGGCCTATTTTGGTGGATTCATATTAATTTGCCTGTTATATACTATATATATCTGCTTGTGACAATAGTCTTAGAAAACTCTTCATCAAAATGTGCCTGTTTTTAAAGATTTAGAATATTTTCATGATTTGATAGTAGATATAAATTTTTATAACAAATCTGTAAAATACTATATCAACAGACAAGGGAGGTATATGATCTACTGTTCAGTACACCTGTAAACATATGTTTTATACTACTAGTAATGACTGGTAGAAGTACCTGTCTTATGTCTACCAGATGGTAAATTATTATACTATGTTGTACTATGTACCTGTACAGTAAAACAGTTTTAATACCATCTTATTTCATCATAAAATTACTGTAAAATGCTAGTATATTTGTTGTACTATTTATACCGTGTTGTATTATGTTATAATTTGTTGTACTATTTAGTTTGTGTTGTATTATGTTATTATGTTATATTACTTTATACTGTCTAGTATTATGTTATAATTTGTTGTACTATTTAGTTTGTGTTGTATTATGTTATACTATGTTATTATGTTATACTATTTTATACTGTTTTGTATTATGTTATTACGTTATTTTTGTACTATTTATACTGTGTTGTATTATTTATACTGTGTTGTATTATGTTATAATTTGTTGTACTATTTATACTGTGTTGTATTATTTATACTGTGTTGTATTATGTTATAATTTGTTGTACTATTTATACTGTGTTGTACTATTTATACTGTGTTGTATTATGTTATAATTTGTTGTACTATGTTGTACTATGTTCCTGTATACTGACACAGTTTTAAAACCATCTTATTTTTCAATAATATTCCTGTAAATTGTCATATTGGCAGTATTTACCTTCAGTCTAGACAAAACAAACCCTCAAAGTATGGTATTTATAGTTTTCAAGAGTTCTAATTTTCCTAGTTATCTAATAAAGAAAGAAATGTAAAACACAACGCCTTCAGTTCCTGAATCAGCCTATAAGTCATTTAAATTATAATATCAGTTGTATTTTACTGCCAGTTTAGACTACAAATATTACACCTTAATTATAGATTTTCAAAAACATTCAAATCTAATTCTTCCACACATTGCTTTTACATTTCAAGTTCTAATACCCAATTTTTTTTTAAAAAAAAAAAGCTCTAAAGTAGCATGTTAATTTCTCATTAAATATAATAAAGTCAATATTATAAATCAAGTCTAGACTGAAAATATTCTCTACATTTATAACTGAAGATACTGTTCTACAGTTTAAAAACTTTATTAGATCTGTTTCACATCATCTTTTATATCAATGTCAACTTATTATAGACTTTGTCTTATACCTTGACTCATCTTCATGATTTCAAGCTATCACAAACTTTGTCCTATACCTTGACCTTGCTTGTATATCGTCTAATACCTTGACTGAAATAGCCACCATTCTTGAATCACAGACTGCATCAATTTCATTGGATTGTATGCCAGACAATACAGCCAATCAGAGCCCCTGATAGACAAACTGTTATCATTATGGCTTATTGTTTACAGACTTTCTGTCGGAACTCATAAAATCTTATCAAATACCTGCATTTACAAACTTCTATGAATCAAGAAAGGTGGCTATAAAGTTATAAAATGAAGTTCGTAATAGCT